AAAATATTTTTGTAATTTTCGCTATAGCAAGAAAATAGACTCTTTAGACGCTAGAAATAATTACGACACGACTGTAAAGTCATATACTTGTACTTACTGCTAGCTGCTTGACGACACAGATTTTTGATTGAAAATTTCAAATACACAGTTTTTTGTGTAATGCCTTGAGATGTTTTTGATTAAGATTATTTTAGATTTATTATTTTTTCTCGCTTTCCTTCAACCTGTGTGAGTGATTATTTGAGCGAGCTGAGCTGGCCGTCAGAAAGGTAGTTGAGACATCAGATCCTACACATCATATGCGTCTCAGTCTGTTGATTCTTTCAAAATGTCACCTTATCACGGGCTAACGGCGGGTTAACATAACTATGTAGTCGAACCGACTAATAGTACAAACTGTTCCTAAGTTTTTGTATTTATGGACTATTGGATGACTACCATTGAATTCCAAATTCACTTAATGTCACCGATGACCTCGTTGAGAATTCTCAGAAACCTCAGCTATTGGGTAAGTGGATGGTTGTGTAAGGACTCTCTAGGTAGACCGCTTGATAAACCTTTATATGATAAACATATATTTGTTAAAGGTAAGTTTAGGATATTTTGATGGCCTTTTTGTGATCCAGAATGGAAACTCGACCCATTTCGCCTGTTCATCAAAAGGTGAATATAATTCCTCAAACAAAAAGTGGAAATAACAATGAAAAAATTATAAAACAAAAATTTTTGAGATGAGAATAAGGACACACTATCAGCACAACTATGGAAGTTTCATAATAGTGAAAACCCCTTTACTAGTTTTCGATTTTGTCAGTTACATGTTTTTTTTTAAGTTTTTTAACAAAAAAAAAGATGAATCATCTTTTTACAGCAAAAAAACCTTCATAATTTCCTTTCGTAACTAAATTCAATCAAGTTAACAACAAAACATCGCACTGATCACAGCCAATAGCATTGTTTATTGGGGTATCCATGATTTATGTTGTTCCGCAGGACATGTCCTTGCCAACGATGGCCTAAATTGTCCCGGCATTTGTCCCAGCCTTAGTAAATGTGTGGTGATAATTCACAGAGACCACTCAGTGTGTTAATGTCGGAAAAGTCCAGGACAAAACGGTACAAATTGTTCTAGTGTGAGCAAATAAATACGATGGAATAATTAAATTATCTTGTGTGGGCTTTCCTTCTCTAATAAATAATTAATATTACTCACTTAAAGCGTTATTTCGTTTTGGATCTCTTGTTTTGTTTATTATTTCGTTATACCGAATTAACATAATGTATTTAAAAAAAAAAAACAAAGTAAATAAGTATTCTATTAGTTTTCATAGCACAAGTTCTGCTTAGTTTGAAACTAGATGGCGTTGTGTGTCAAATGTCCCAAAATTGTTTTCAGACTCTTGAGTTGTAGGGGTCCCTTACCATCAGATTGTGGTTCATTTGCACCCAATAAATATATATATATATTAGAATGTTATACTTAAATTTCTTAAAACAAAATCTCAACGAATGCAGTAACTACAAATTACTGGTGACAATTAGTAGATATATAGACAAAAAAGCACTGGGACGTTTTCCCAAGGAACTGGTCAGGGGACCCTTCCCTTTGAGTCGGTAGCACATAACAACGTTAGCACAAAACAATGTGTTAAATTAAATCAGTTCTAACGCACCTAGTAATTAGTAAAAAAATCTGCGTCGAATACCCAAATGTCAAATGCCCTTTTAATCAGTAACGTTAAAAATATTTATTTCTTCCTTTTATATACATTATTCTAAACTTAAAACGCTACATCAAAAAGTGCTGAACATATAAAGTACGGCCAATATTGCTACTAATCTTTCCTCTGAAAGAAAATGCCAGAAAATAAAGAAAGTAAAAAAACTATTAAAAACTGTATCACAGGTTGTAAACGAGGTGCGCTACAGCTCGTAGGTACCAGAGCAAGGACTTGCAAGAGCCCTCCGCAAATGGGGTAAGGGCTTTCCTTCCACCTTGCGGCATAGGGATGAACAATTATTTTTAAAATTATAGTCATATTACTAAAAAAATACATTAATTTTGGAACTTTTGAATTGCAGAATTAAATATCCAACATAATTATGCAAAACGCTTGTCTTACAGCACTTCAATAGTCGCAAAACACTTCTCACTCCAAGTCTTAAATTTCATACGACGCGTGTGAAACGGTTACGTCAAATAATTACGACCAAGATGATACGAGTACGTGTAAACCAGTGCATTGCCGTGGTAACGAACCCATGAGTTGTTTTTCCACAATGCGATGAGCCATTGCTCTCACACGCTTTCACACACTCACTTAATACTTTTATTTACTGTATATCTCCCTGCTTCTCGTGCGATTTTTGCAGAGAAGTACCTTACTTTGTGAATGGACGACGACATGAAATATAACAGTACCAACCGCTTCAAATTCTTTGTATCAATTCTACGCTAGTTTTTCGAAATTATTGAGATCTATAAGATATTCATACATTATCATCAACACCCTCTAATAGTCCACTTCTGGACATAGGCCTCTCCTTAGAAAGGAGGTTTTGGCATACTATCCCACGCTGGCCAGACGGTTTGGTATAGGGTTTGTTTCGGGTTTTCCTTCTTTTTGCAGTGCTGTTGTCCTGCATAGTCTGCTCACCCACTTTACGACACCCACGGGATGAATAGGGGTGGTGACACTCCTTATTCTCAATCCGTGACCACACGGACAATATTTATACATTTTATTTATATTAGTTAAAAACACAAAACCTCTGAGGAATTTTTTGCACCACTAAAGACGATATTGCGAACTTTACAGATTTAAAATCACTTTTACAAATTTATTGTTTGCAAAGACATTACGTATAAAATGAAAAAATAGACTCGAAATAATTTAATAAATGAATCCAGACAAAAATATTTAAAAAATAAAAAAAACGATTTCAGAATATTATAAAATCTGTTTGAATTAATTTCATGTTATGTTTTGACCAAAAGCTATAAAAAAATAGTGGGCAGAAATATAAAACATGAGTTTCGTAGTTTGAAAAAGTTATGGTAGATCATGATTTAAAAAAAAACATGAAATTAAATAATTTTATCGATATTATCATGCCAATGTCTCCCAACACTAGTACACATCAAAGTAATAGGTACAAGCATAATGTGGTCGAAGCCTGTGCCTCACCTGTGAATTACACACTCGACTCATATACTTAATACTTACTTACACCTACAACTGGAAGCTCAAATATAACATGATAATTTAAATGGGTACATTTTAATACTCACTTTGGGGATTAAATTTTATTAAACAAAATTTTATTAAATTAGAAGAAAGTAATTAATTATAATTTACAGATTACTGACGGGCCTGTTGATTTAGTGGTTAGACTGCTAAGCCGGAGGTCGTGGGTTCGATTCCCACCCAGGACAAATATTGTCTGATGAGCACGATCATTTGTTCTGTGTCTGGGTGTAATTTGCTTGTCGGGGCACCAGGGACTTCCTTTCTAGGGTATACCTTTACCTACCTTTTAGTCGGTTCGAGTCCGACATGCCACCGATAAGTGGTATCCGCGGGGATTTCCGCACGGAAAAAAAAGGGTGTAATTTGCTATAATATGTGTGAAAAATAATGTTTAAAAATATATAAGTATGTTCAACAGCAGTCTGTTTACTAGTACATACTAGCATAGGCTCTTTCAGTTTTTGGCATCAGATTGCCGTATGTGAGATTAAGATTTTAAATTTATTTAGTCACACAGCCAGGAAATAAACGTTTTCAAAGAAATTGTTCCTGGTTACAAGGAAGATACAGAATATCAGTCAAAAGGAAGAAGTCTTTGGCGCTGGACAGATCACACGACACCGCTAAACAAGTCCATGAAGCCATACACACTCCTGAAGACGGCGCAAACGAGTAGACGGGTCACCTGATGGAAAGTGACTGCCGCCGCCCATGAAAGCCTCCAACTTAGGTTAGAGGAAGGAGCACGTTACGTACGTACGTTTCTTGAAGGGTTGAAGCTCTTTCCTTTTTACTTTTCTTTGAAAGTCAACAATTGCATTAGGAATATATCCTGCGTCGCGGGCGACTTTACAAACATACATGAAACGGACACAAAGAATACCCAGACTCAGAACAACAATTTGTTGATCACGCAAAATGTCGTCCAGTGTGGCGATCAAACCCACAACAATAAGCGGCGTGGCGAGCACTACGCCATCCGTGCAGTCGACACTTAAAAGTTACAAGTACGTTACAGCTCTTTGAGTAACCCCTCTCACCAGAGCCTCACTGATACCTAACTAACATATCATTTGTAAAAGTCGGTCTTAGTTGCAAAGATTTTATGCACAATCAAGACAGTTATTCTAGGTGTCAAATTGCCGGTATATGAAACTTATTTTTTTTTATTTTGCATAAAATTTACAGGCATACCATGGCATGGCTTTGGTTATCCTTATAAATAAAATAATATAATTCCGTGTGGTGACGGATTAAGAATACAGAGTATCACCACCCCTATTCATCCCGTGGGTGTCGTAAGAGCCGATTAAGGGAGAAAATTAGGCAGAACACAGCACTGCCAAGAGAAGGAAAACTTGACACAAGCCCTATACCAACCCGTCTGGCCAGCGTGGTATAGAAGGCCAAAACCTCCTTTCTAAGGAGAGGCCTATGTCCAGCAGTGGACTATTAAAGGCAATGGCTTAACCTAATAATACAGTACATCACACTATTAATATTGGTTATAGTTCCTTCTTTTTGCCTACTCACATTATGCAAATTAAAATTAGGCCAAAACAAATTTGTCTCAAAGATAATTATGTGAACATAAACAATTATGGTAAAGTAGACACATTAATATCAAAAAAATATACTAAAATAGTTATACCAAAGTATATATTTGGGAAATAAACATGATGCGAAAAGAATTTCTCAATTCAACCGCCTCCGGTTTGAAGTCAGTTTAGATATATTATCCCATTTTCATTACATAGAGTATACAGATATTACTTTTGGTAATTCATTACCAGTTCGTGGAGTATCAGGAGGTAGCACTCGTCCAAAAACATCTCGTAGAGACTTCCCTCTTTTATAATCTAATACAGGCACCGACATTTTTTTAGATGTTTCATAAAACTCTCGACCCTTGTAATGAGAAACTTAATATTTTTATGTAATAAAGATGGCAAATTGGATTAAGTATTTTTATATCAAAAGGATGTTTTTATGATGACCTTGGTTTTGAGATTTTTAAATATACGTTTATATTTTTATAATTAATTCTTATCTCTAGGAAAACTTTATTAAATTATATCATGCTGTTGGAGATGGATGCGTCTGGAGTGGTACCACGGCCTCACAGAAAACTGTGTTAAGTAATAATATCGTTGCTTTTCATCGAGTGACTGAGGTTACCCGATTCCCTCCAGAATTCGAAATTTAAACAATTTTTTAACCCCAACGAAAAACGTTATAACTTTGACGTTTGTTTTTTTTGTTTGTCAGGTGAATAAGTCGGGAGTGTTCTTAGCTATGTTTGATGAAATCGGACCAAGATGGCCGCCCCCACAAAATGGCGGATTATTTATTTTTTCAAACCCTCTCAATATGGGTATCAAATGAGAGGACTTGACTATTAGAATACTATATACGAGTACTATGACAAATTTCTAATCCGAGATGTGTATCGAGGGTTTTTTTTAACTAGTCTCCAGCGTCAAGGCACTTTACCCCCATTACCATGAAAATTTATTATGCCATTTAATATGAATTATTTTTGTTTTTTTTTGTAATGACTTTACAAATATATAAATGGATGAATACGATAACATTTTTAATATTGTTGATATCTATTCATTGTATGGAATCCCCTCCAATTGTTTTTCTCTAGCTACTTAGAATTTTATGTATACCACAAAAAGAGTTACAAGATACTAAAACATCAATTGAAATAATCTAATATATAAAATTCTCGTGTCACGGTGTGCGTGGTTGAACTCATCCGAAACGGCTCGACCGAATTTCGTGAAATTTTGTGTGCATATCGGGTAGGTAGGTCTAAGAATCAGCCAACATCTATTTTTTATACCCCTAATTTCTTTTTACAAAGAAATTTGAAGTAATGTATATGGCAAAACAACGTTTGCCGGGTTAGCTAGTCTTATCTTATTTATGTATAATATTCTCGTGTCACAATGTTAGTTACCAGACTCCTCTGAAACGGCTGGACCGATTTTTATGAAATTTTGTGTTCACATAGGGTAGGTCTCAGAATCGGCCAACATCTATTTTTCTTATTCCTAAATAACAACCCCTAAATATTTTTTTCAATATTTCCTAGATATAATGTGTATGGCAAAACAAAGTTTACCGGGTCAGCTAGTATATTATATGTTATAACTTACCCTTTTGTTGTCTCGGAACTTTAACCAGCCACTGATGACACTATTATCAACACCAGAACAGTCCTCCTCTTCCACATCCGCCCGCCTGGACAGCAACGGAGACCCACCAGGACTGTCCAGGACCTCCCGTCTTCTCATAACAGGAGTACACTGTTGTGACAACCTCCCCTCATTCACCAGGTCACTTCTCCTACCCAAAACTGGTGTAGCGTGAGCTGACACTCCACCCGTGAGGCCACGGCGGGCTAAGAATGGGCTTCCATCCCATGGTCTTTTGGCATTACTTTTACACTCTGTGTGCAAGCATAATGCGTCGAAATTTGCCAGTTCTACCGACACCCTGGTCTGGAGACCACTGGGGTGGGTGGTGAGAATGGTCTGCTTGGCGATACTGCACCCGTGACGGTGGAGTTCCTCGCGTCTTTCCATTTTAAAGAGCTAGATCATTAGGAGAAGTGATTAGGTGAGATCCATTTGTTGGTCTGTTCACTCATCTGCAAAAGAGAGAGAAAATATTTCTTAAAACAGACTCCTAGAAACCAGTAGAGACATGCTTATAATGTCTGTTTTTTTTTAATCTTGTTTCATCTTAATATGATTACAAAAAAAAACTGTTTAAAGAATTCTTAAAAATTTAATATGTCTTTCTAAATTGCCCAAAATTACACATTAATCGGTTCACAATGAGCTTAAAGAACAGTACAAATAACATAATGTAAAAAATTACAACAGTAACCGGAAACAATAAAAGGTAGTAAAGATACAAAATATTTCATCCATGAAATGGACACAAAGAACACTCAGAACAACAATTTGTGGATTACACAAAGTGTTATCCCGTGTGAGGATCGAACCCACAACACTAAACGCAGTAGGCCGCGGCGAGGTGACCTCTTCAACCACTACGCCACCCGTGCACTAACCAATGGCTTACATATATACAGTTTTTGTATGTCGGCTAAAGAGTTAAAACTTGAAAGAAGAAAGAAAGGTACTTTTGCAATAGTATTCTTTATCTTCCTCTTTCAAAAAACTGGCGATTCTTTAGATGATTAATGCTCATCATCTCAACTAAATATATTTTTAAATAAGCAAATAAAACGACTAAACATCTACTCATACCTTACATTTGTTGTATAACTATCTAATATAACTAAAGAGATAGAAAATCCAACTAATCACAAACTATTGAAGTTACAACAGTAACGCGTAACGACTGGTTGTTACAATCACCTGTCCGCTTTGAGGATGGTACGCTTCATATTTGAGATGAAATAGTTTTGAAATAACCACATTTTGTTCCTTTAAAGTCTTTATAAAGCTTTGTAGATGTAAAACTCTGCGTCCGTTAAAGTTCCAAAGCATTCTCTTTATTGCAACACCGCGTTCTTACTTCTTGTTTTAGAGTGTTATTTTACTTAAAACATCTGAATTAAATATAACAATAAATAAATAAATACGGACTAACTTATTTTTAACAAAACAGGATATAATATACGAGTATATTTATGAAAAAGGACATAATCGCATTTTTTGGAACGAAGTTCTTTATCGCGCGTGTCAAACGCTCTGAGCCGATGGGAGCGACGAATGTGTAACAAGACTTTTTCAGACACTTTTATAATTGTTTTGTATAAAAAATATATAAAAAAGTTTATATGCAACGACAAAGGATAGTTTTTATTCCAGCAATCGTCTTTGAAGGGGACGAAAGGGAGTAATAGTTTTTATGGGGAATCAATAACCGCTGAACCGTTTTAGATGAAATTTGGAAGGTAGATAGTTTGGTTGAGAAAGGAGATTGGCTAGTATTTACCGTGACAACGGACATTTATTATACGTGGGCGGAGCCCCGGGCAAAATTTCAAGCGTGTTCAGATTTAATGGTATTATCATTAGTAATTACAAATATGATTTCTGTGCATCTGCCGTTTAAGATTTACATTACATTAACCAAAAGTTGACTGGTAGAGAATGCCCTTTTTTTTTTTTTTTCCCCGGAGTAGAGAATGCCCTGGGCATTATGTCCGCCTTTGTACAAAGTGTGCATTAAGATCCATAAAGACACAAAAATAAAACACACAAAAAGCAAGAAGACTTCAAAGTTTTTTAAATTTCTAATAGACTTATTTCGTACAATGTCTTCTAGGTACTTTACTCACTTACAACTCACGAAATTCGGGCGTTTCTTCAAAGTTCCTTTCTAAGTGTTCCTAATTGTACAATTAAAGTGTCAATTTTGTTTAATGAAATTATTCAACTGTTACCCCACTTAGATTACTACAGTCTCAATTTCAGCACAAAGCTTCTGTTGGCCATCCCCGTTTATAATATTACAGACGTAATGGAGGCTTCTAAGATTTTTTTTGTTTCTCAGTGCGAATGTTGCACATGTTTTTGTTGTGACACGTGAGTTAATACTAATTGTGTATGTTTTGCAAGACTCAAAATAATTACAAACCTCTTCTCACATATCACACACATCAACAGCCTATAATAGTCCACTGCTGGACATAGGCCTCTCCTTAAAAAGGAGGTTTTGGCCTACTATACCACGCTGGCCAGATATGGATTAAAAATACAGAGTGACATCACCCCTATTCCTCCCATGGGTGTTGTAAGAGCCAACTAAGGGAGCAAACTACGCAGTACAGCATCCGTATATCCGTCTGGCCATCGTGGTAGAGTATGCCAAAATCTCCTTTGTAAGGAGAAGCCTATGTCCAGCAGTGCACTGCTAAAGGCTGCTGATGATGATGATGATGATGTATGTATGTAACTATGTTTGTTCGGGTAAAATCTTGCAACTCAATTTTGAAGCAGAGATCTTCAACCGATTCAACCGATTTAGTTTGGATGACAACTAATAGTTAGCTGTAGGACGTCATTCTAAATCCAACATGGCGGAACACTCAAGATGGCGGACTAGTAAATTTTAATACACTTGCTGAGATTAACTCGAAAAATAAAGTGACGTCACTCTAAATCCAATATGACGGACTTTTAAAGACGGCGAGCTAAGTTTTTTATACTTGATTACAAATGGGTATCAAATGAAAGGAGTTGCTGAGAATACGAATGCGAGTCCGACTCCGCTGCTCCAATCCGTCTGAAATTTTGGTGTACGATAACTAAAAAGTAAAAAATAAATTTAAAGTAAAAAATATTTTTAATAACAAGCTTTTATTAAACTACTAACTACTACTAACTAACAATTTATAATGTTATTACACAATCTATGTGATATAAAAGCTAAATGAAATTAAATACGTCTCGATTACCACTGCTACATTTTAAAGATCTCTAATTCAAATATTAAGACCGTAACGAAACACTGTCTTAATAAGTTCGGCATAATAATCATCATCATCATCATCAACAGCCTTTAACAGTCCACTGCTGGACATAGGCCTCTCCTTAGAAAGGAGGTTTTGGCCTACTATACCACGCTGGCCAGACGGGTTGGTATAGGGTTTGGGGTGCTAGCTAGAAAACCTCCCCGTGGTGCACCCTGGAAACGCTGGCGATGGTGCTGTTTGGCACCAGTGGTGGTGCTGATGGGCACCAGGAGCGGGCTGGCGCTAGGAGGGGTCCGGATGTCTTAACAACAGCTGTTCCCGGATCCCTCCTGTTACAGGCGCAGAGTGGCACACCGTGTGGTTTTAGTCGGTCCGAGTCCGACACACCACCCCGCCGCAAACCCCGGAGGGGTGACGGTCCGAGGGGATTTCCACACGTTAAAAAAAATAAAAAAATAAAGGGTTTGTGTCAAATTTTCCTTCTCTCTGCAGTGCTGTTGTCCTGCGTAGTTTGCTCCCTTAGTCGCTTCTTACGACACCCACTGGATGAATAGGGGTAGTGACACTCTGTATTCTTAGTCCGTCACCACAAACTAAACAACTAAACAACCTATGGAATGTATGTCTAAAAATAAAAATATTTTTAAAACATGACTGTGGTAAATTTACTGAACGCAATTAAATGATGAAAGCCAACATTCCGAATTTCCATTATTACTAGTTATAAAACAGTATTTTATAGCAATAATTGAAGAGGTCGTAGATCTCGGTCCATTTGACGGGGGTAGCTTAAGCTATGGAATATTTGAATAGAACAGAACCCCTTAATGAACTTAAGAAGTCCTCATAATTCTTTGAGGGGTTAAATTTGATGTCGTGATCATTTATTACCGGTTTTAACGGGATTAAAGAATGCATAGAATTGCTAATACTTTGTTAGAAGTAAGAGCTTTTCGTTTAAATTTAAATGCATTACGTATTTTTGATGAAAATTGACCATTTCAACAACCTGAAGATTTCGACTTACTACGTATGCGATCCTTTAGAACTATTGCTTAAAAATAAAGTTGCCCCCTATTACGCTTTTGTCTGTAACGTTCCGGGAATATAATAATAATAATATAATATAATAATATTCTACCACATTCACACAACGCCATCTAGTCCCAAACTAAGCAGAGCTTGTACTATGGGTACTAGATAACTGATATAAATACATATATACTTTTATACTTTTTTGTAAATACATACATATTATACATAGAAACACCCAGACCAAATCAAACATTAAATGTTCATGCACACAAATGTTTGACTTTAGCGGGAATCGAACCCGCGACCTTTGGAATAACAGTCCGTTACACAAACCACTATGCCATTCGGTCGTCAAATATATTATAATATGCATATATATATATTTTCTATACACCAGCTTTTGTCCGTTTTTTGTTTTAGTCCGCATGCATGTCGGTTATAGCGGTTAAAAGAGCCTATTTTACTCGCTGATAATGAAGCTTTTCATTGGTGAAATAATTTTTAAAATTGGTTTAGTGGTTTAGGCGTGAAAGCATAACAAACAGATAAACTCACTTTTATATTTATAATATAAGTAAGGATTATATTATGAAAAATTAAATGCAAGTTCCCATTATCTAAAAATTACAATTAAGTTTTTGTAAAACAAAACCGGCGACTGTAAAATTACGAAACCCAGTTTCGGTTGCATAAATTGATTCCAAAACTTATAAGTTAACTTAAAGTAAGAATAAATAGAAAGTATAATAAAATAATAAGTGTGGCAAGATTGTGAAGTGTGTGAAGGCTTAAAAAAAATTGTTAGAAGGTATACAGTTATCAATCTCGTAAAATGCCCCGTCAAAAGAGAACGGACAGACGTGTTATATTATTTTAACTTAACAAGAACTCAAATAAAGAGAAACCACTTTAGTATTCAGGATGTTAATCTCACTCTAAAAGTGCAATTGGATTTTCAACTGGAAGAAGTAACCGCAAAATTTCACCGAATAACTTAAGCGGTAACAACGTTATCGGAAAACTTGGTATCGAGTCTGACCCACCCCTTCTAAAGATCCTTTAGGAATTAAACTAAATTATTTAAAATTCAGCTCA